TTAAACACTGAAAGTGGTGGGATAAATAGTATCTAGGATTCTTTAAACACAGTGCATAGCAGTAGACAGGAACACTTGTTCCTTGTCCCCCAGTGGCCCCAAACAGCCAAAATTGAACATTTTGGCAAAGCAGGTCTGTCGGCTGAGCACCTAGCAGAGTAGGTGTGTCTATGCAAATACAGTCTTTTCCCTCAGTTCATCAACAGATGGCCGGGGAGAGCTCAGTCATACCCTGGCTTACAGAGGGAAGGCTGTATCTTGTTTGGAAAATTCCATATATTGACAGCAGAGGAGGGAGAAGCACTTTTCCAGGGGGCTGCAGGGGATTTTGCTCTACGACATCATTAATATGCTGAAAACGTAGCGCAGAGATTCTGACACAAACTGCTGAGCAGCCAGTCTGAGATCATGCCTCTCCAGCCAGGTCTTGGACTCTTACGAACAAAACGTAGCATTCCGGAAAAGGAGAGAGGTCAGGACACTTATCTGATGAACTAAACAGGATTTTGCCGCAAGAAGAATTGCGGAGTTCTCACAATTGATTTTGGTTGTATTCCTCAGCTCTATCCCAGGAGCATTTGCAGGGGGTCAGCAGCAGTGGCAACTTAGGTATTCTCCTTGACCAGACTTCTCCACTTCTTGAAAATTCCTTAGGGATCTCATTGTATTCTATGCTCCTTCAAAGCTGGGCTCCCTTGTTGCTGGCCACTTGTTCCCTATAGAGGGAAGTTTCCCAGTTACCTTGACGGTCCTAGTAATCTGGAACATATTTCTGCACTGCCAGGCCTGTCCCCAAATTCACAGGTAGACACAGACAACCTTCGACATTTTCCTGTCGTCCTACCCCAAAACCTGTTGCCCAGAGTCTGCCTGTCTGTCTACATTCCTATATTGCATCCTCCATCATGGTCTCTGAGCGCCTGATGGATGGTTCTGAAGCCCTGCTAGGCAGGAGCTCCAATGAAACAGCTTTTCCAAAGGGTTCAACTTGTGTTCTTCACCTATAGTTTTATCTTTGCATCTAAAAAGAAACTGCATCAGAACTCAGTTAAACAGGACGTCAAACATTTTTCTCGGATCATAGAATCATAGAACATCAGGGTTGGTAGGGACCTCAGGTCATCTAGTCCAACCCCCTGCTCAAAGCAGGACCAATCCCCAACTAAATCATCCCAGCCACAGCTTTGTCAAGCCTGACCTTAAAAACCTCTAAGGAAGGAGATGCCACCACCTCCCTAGGTAACGCATTCCAGTGCTTCACCACCCTCCTAGTGAAAAAGTTTTTCCTAATATCCAACCTAAACCTGCCCCACTGCAACTTGAGACTATTACTCCTTGTTCTGTCATCTACTACCACTGAGAACAGTCTAGATCCATCCTCTTTGGAACCCCCTTTCAGGTAGTTGAAAGCAGCTATCTAATCCCCCCTCATTCTTCTCTTCTGCAGACTAAACAATCTCAGTTCCCTCAGCCTCTCCTCATAAGTCAAGTGCTCCAGCCCCCAATCATTTTTGTTGCCCTCCTCTGGACTCTTTCCAGTTTTTCCACATCCTTCTTGTAGTGTGGGGCCCAAAACTGGACACACTACTCCAGCTGAGGCCTCACCAATGTCGAATAGAGGGGAATGATCACGTCCCTCGATCTGCTGGCAATGCCCCTACTAATACACCCAAAATGCCGTCAGCCTTCTTGGTAACAAGGGCACACTGTCGACTCATATTCAGCTTCTTGTCCACTGTAACCCCTAGGTCCTTTTCTGCAGAACTGCTGCCTAGCCATTCGGTCCCTATTCTATAGCAGTGCATGGGATTCTTCCGTCCTAAGTGCAGGACTCTGCACTTGTCCTTGTTGAACCTCATCAGATTTCTTTTGGCCAAATCCTATAATTTGTCTAGGTCCCTCTGTAGCCTATCCCTACCCTCTAGCATATCTACCACTCCTCCCAGTTTAGTGTCATCTGCAAACTTGCTGAGGGTGCAATCCACGCCATCCTCCAGATCATTAATGAAGATATTGAACAAAACCGGCCCCAGGACCGACCCTTGGGGCACTCCGCTTGATACCGGCTGCCAACTAGACATGGAGCCATTGATCACTACCCGTTGAGCCCGACAATCTAGCCAGCTTTCTATCCACCTTATAGTCCATTCATCCAGCCCATACTTCTTTAACTTGCCAGCAAGAATACTGTGGGAGACCGTATCAAAAGCTTTGCTAAAGTCGTGTTACACATGATCTCCATCTTGGTACACATAACAAAATTCATTCCGCACATGGGTGGGAAAAATTAGAGGGAACACCCACCCTGAGTCCATCCTTCCTCTCAGTCAGCCTTTTTGGAATACATTATTTTAGATTCTGTACCTCCATATTTGGCCATCTCAGAGCCATTGCTGATATTGCTTGCTCCCTTATTTATGAATGAGGCTAGCTTTATTTTTGCCTCTTATTTTCCAGTTGCTCTTATCATCCGGTGTTCTCAGTTCATATAATGCTAAATTAATGGTCACTGCTAGCAAGCCTACGGATTATTTCCATAGTCATGAACAATTTATTTCTCTTAACAAGAGGTAGATTCAAGAGGAGTTTTCCTCTGCCCGATTCTCTACCTTCTGGATGAGGAGGCTGCCCATTACCATCACTCTGTTTGCTACCCTATAGACTTTAGAGCAAGTTAAAATCCACACAAGGCAGAGTGTCTTATGGTTTGAACTTCCAGTAAGTTTTTGTTCTCACAGCACTCAGCTCCCACTGAGTGCCCCTGAGAGGAGAGGCACTGGGGAGTGAGTTCTCTGCCCTGACCCTAGTGCAGGTTAGAACAGCCTGACAATAGTCCCTAGGGCCACTGCCTTTCCCCACCCATCACCTTGACACATTGTGTCTTTGATTTCTTTGTAGAAGTTCTCCAGCATTCTACAGTGACTGATTACCAATTCCTTTCTTCTCCTCTGTCCTGATAGTGAAGGATGCATGAAGGTATCTCCTTCTACATTGTTAGCTTTTTTGTCTGCTGCTGCACATTGAGTGGATGTTTTCAGAAAATTATTCACAATGACTCCAAGATCTCTTTCTTGAGTGGTATTAGTTAATTTAGACCCCATCTTTTTGTGTGTATAATTGAGATTATGTTTCCAATGTTCATTACTTTGAATTTATCAAATTGAATTTCATCTGCCACTTTGTTGCCAAATCACCCAGTTCTGTGAGATCTGCAGTCTGCTCTGGACTTAACTATCTGGAGTAATTTTGTATCATCTGCAAATTTTGCCACATCACTATTTACTCCTTTTTCCAGATCATTATGAGTCAAAGCCAGACTATTGCAATGGTGAAATCTTTTGAAGGTTTTACACTCCAACAAATATCTATTTACTGTCCACAAGCTTGGAGGCTTTCCCTCCATGGCTTTTGTTCAGTATCAAAAAATAACTAAGTGTCTGGTCTCTGCCAACCCAATTTCCCTTCCTCTAGGATTATTTATTCAAGTCATAATGCTGAATTGGTGACATCACAGTCAGTGCATGGCAACAGACTGTGATACTGCAATGGCATCAGCACAAGGGGCCACAACTGGTTCCACCCCAGGGCTGCTCTTATTAACAGGACCACTTCCTCTCAATATTTCCTCACTTGCAGTTAGGCTCATAGTTATTTGCATCCCACACAGGGCCGGCTCCAGGCACCAGTGAAGGAAGCAGGTGCCTGGGGCGGCCAATGAAAAGGGGCGGCACTCCGTCCGTTATTGGGGCGGCATGTCTGGGTCTTCAGCAGCAATTCGGCAGCGGGTCCTTCAGTCCCTCTCTTCATCTTCAGCAGCACTTCAGCGGCAGCTCAATCGTTTTGTTTTGTTTTTTCCTTCGCTACTTGGGGCGGCAAAAAAGCCGGAGCCGGCCCTGTGTGGGATGCAAATAACTATGAACCTAACTGCAAGTGAGGAAATATTGAGAGGAAGTGATCCTGTTAACAAGAGCAGCCCTGGGGTGGAGCTGCTCTGGTTAACAGGACCAGAATGGTTACCTGGGGAGCAAAGAATGTCGTCTCTATATGTCTATTACATGATGATATGTAAAAAGGTAGAGAGATTTTTCAGTTTGCCTAAAGCAGTAAATCTCCTAGATTTAACATTGTGTAGGGTTATCTTTTAATACTATAAATGGATATGTTTGGAAAGGTTTTGAATCAGAAGACAGCAGATGGGAATGAAACTGACTTAGTCATTCAATGTTTGACTAATTGGTGACCCTGTACTCTTCTGTCCTCTTGACAGATTTTCAGATCTATTGTTGCAAGTTGTACTGTGAGTAATGTTAGTCCCAGGCTGATATGCCACAAGATAAATGGGGCCTACCTGTGAGGAGAATGTGCATGAAGCTATAGAAATATTTCTAAAAGTACAGTAGAGTTGGTTGATGCAATGGCTCCGTGTTTGTTTACTCTCACAATAAAGCAAGAGTTTGTACCGAGCATTCTGGCAATTGGCAATGAACAATAACAATGCTCGTACGCCTACTTTTGACTAATATTTCAGGCCTGAGCTGATCACAAGCTTGAAATATTTCGGGACAGTCTCCCTCTCACCCAGTTTCCTTTGGCAACATGATCACCTCCTGAATAGTGAGGAGATGGATTTGTGTTTTCATAGTGTGTCTTGGAGTCAGGATTTTGGATTTGTACAATTAGCACAACTATGCCACTTCAAACAACAACAAAACGCAGCCATCTTAGAGCGTCAGTACTGAACTGCTTTGAGTCTGAGTAATTCTAACGGCAGAAGCTCATTTGTAGGGGCCACATAGGAAAATGACTCAATAGGCTGAGCTCATTGGCAGGACCAGTGCAGGAATGATAGGCTGAAGGAGGGGTGCTGCGTCATGCCCTGAAGGCAGCGTTCACTCGGGAGCAGGCAGTGTCTCATCTTTTGACTGACTTGTCCTTTTTTTTTTTTTTTTTTTTTTTTTTTTTTTTTTTGTTAATCAAGCTGAACTTTCTCCCATCAACAGGTTCTAGATGTGAATCAATCCCATGATGCAACATGTCTCCCCAGCACCAGCTCTGACAATGATGGCCACACAGAGTGTGCCCCCTCCCCCTTACCAAGACAGCCAGCAGGTGAGTGTGCTGCAGAGCTCACATCCAACACCACCCTTCAAACATGCAGCAGCAGCGAGGCTTGGCCAGGGGCTTTCCATGCATTTCCACGTATAGCCTTTGTAGAAGCGTTTGGAGTGTTGCAGAAAAACAGCAGGGGACTTAGCGCCAAAGAAAAAATTCCTTATGGATCGGTATTGCTGCCAAGTGCAAAGCAAAATTGATTCTGGCAAGAAATGGAAGGATCTCACATTGTTATCTAGAACCAAAGGCAGATGAAGTTGCAATGCATTACTGGATTTTGTTCTGTGCCCTGCTCTAACCAAATATATCCCCAAATGCCAAGATCATACCCTAGGCCACATATTATCAAAAGTATTTAGGTGCCCAAAAATACACGTTGGCACCTTCTGGAAGGTTCAGACACACCTGAATAAGTTTGTAACTTGATTCCCATTGACTCTAATGGGAGCTATGGGACTCTAACCTATGCATATGACTTTGTAAACCCCACTAGACACCTAGCTTCATCTTGAGGCACCTTTGGAAATCTGGCCTGGCCTAACTTTAGACTCCCCAGTTTGAACATGCCACCCTGGGATCTTTTGTGCCAGAGTCCAGAACACAGGTTTGGGAGACAGTCAATGGCATTTAGACTCCTAAGTTCCTAAATCCCTTTTGAAAATGCCATTTAAGCTCCTAAATCAGTTAGATGTTGGGATGACACTGAGCATAGGAACACCTAAATCACTTTACAAATCTGAGCCTTACACACTTTCAAAAGTTTTGCCAGTAGCATCATCTGATATTTGTCCCAAGAGGGAAGGGGTGTAAAGAGGGTATACAGACAATGGCTGGTTTCGCAATGTGCTTGATCTGAAAGAACTCACTCCAAGATAGCATGAAACTTCACCCCTACACTGGGTGAAAGTGCTGTGACTTTGTGACTGTTGGTCCTATCTCTTGATGCCTTTTTAAAATTGTTACTTTTACACTTAATCCGTTTGAGAAAGGAAGGGTGAGCAGTGAATAGTCGTCATATGATCTTTTTAATTCGGCCTGGATTCCAAAGAGGAGTTTCTTTCCCAGACACTGGGATAAGCAGGAAAAGTGCTCAGCTCTCTGTAGCTGGCATATAAGGACTTGGGAGGAAAGGGCTGGGGGAGGGGAGCTGGAGGCCTGCCAGCTGAAAGGAGACACTGCTGCGTTGCTGAGTTAATTCTCTCCTTGGAGAACTATAAAAGATACAAGCTTAGGCCTGGTCTACACTGGAGGGGTCGGGGGTGGAGATCGATCTAAGTTATGCAACTTCAGCTACGTGTTCACGTAGCTGAAGTCGACGTACTTAGATCTACTCACCGCTGTGTCTTCACTGCAGTGAGTCGACTGCTACCGCTCCCCCATCGACTCTGCCTGCACCTCTCCCAGTGGTGAAGTACAGGAGTCGACGAGAGAGCACTCGGGGTCGATTTATCGCATCTAGACTAGACATGATAAATTGACCCCTGCTGGATCGATCGCTGCCCGCTTATCCAGTGGGTAGTATAGACAGCCTATGAAAAGACCGATGTGGTCTCTCAGCAACTCTGACACATACCTGCACCACACCATGTCAATCCCATTGAAGTCCTCAGACAGCTAAAACAAGTGCTTTTCTGTAGATAGGTCTAATGCAAAGCTGGCTAAGGGATCAGCCTGTATTTCAGAAGGCAGCACCAGTACGGCAAATGTACTGGAGTTGGGTGAATACTACAAAACATGTCCTGGCATTTGTGCTCTGATTTCAAGGTGAATTTTCTTTGGTGCTGCTCAAGCCCCTTCTATAGTCTCTTTCCAGGGACTTTTGAGCAATGTCATATTCACTGGCAGAAAGTTAAAGTGAAGCTGAAAGCTCATCTGCTCACACCAGACTGGAGCATTTTTAATAATGTAACTTTAGCGCCCTCGTGGCCAAGATGGAGTCTGCTCTGCAGGCAGCGCTGGCCAAGAGAAGGCGCACGCAGGAACGCAGCAGGAGAAATCCCTTCCATCCCAGGGGCACCTGTTCCAAACCCCCCAGAGTGAACATACACCACCACAGGAAAAGTACAGTGGATATAACAAAGGGAAATATTTATTTACAGAGGGATGAGAGGAGAAAAACAACAAGGGGAAATATAGGGGAAGCAGTAGAACGGGGCTGCATCCAAGCCAAGGCTCCACAGGCCCAGTGGTAGCACAGCCTGGAAGGGCAGACTCTGAGCAATGTGTCTGCACACAGAGTTCAGGAGTCCTGAGCAAAGTTCCAGTCCAGTGGTGAGTCTTGGGTGCTCCTGGTCGTCTTCAGCGCCAGTGAACTTTCCCCCAACAAACCCCTCCGGTGCCCTCTTCTGCCGCTCCCTGCAAAGCCACACAGAGCGACCACCTCCCCACTTAACTAGCTAGCAACCTCCCTCCTTGTCCCCAGTGCAGAGTCACAAGCCCCAGTACTCACAAGCCCCGGCCTGTCCTTCTCGGGCAATTCCTCCCTGGCACAGTGCTCCTCCTGGCTCCTGTCCTGGGGTGTCCCCGATCGGCCCTGTCCTTCCCAGGCTTCAGGCAGGTTCTCTGCTGCTTCACTTTTCCAGGGCCTGCCGGCTGCCTCTCCCTCTCCCTGGAGCTCCAGCGCTGCCCCCTGGAGTTTCCCTCCTTTTTTCTTACTCTCCCTCTCCCCCTTAGGAAAAAAGATTTAAAGGGCTATGCTCTCTAAACACCAAAGAGGTTACAATAATATGCAATGGGGCAGCAGAGATGTAGAGTTCCCAAATCCCCTCCCCAGTTAAACTAGCCAAACAAGGACCTGAACAAACCCTTAACCCCTGGGCAGTTACTTTGTGCCAGCATGACAACAGAAAAATGAATGGGCCACTCTGCGCTCATCCAGTAAACGTTACAATAGCCTGATGATCCTAGCAACCACATCTGAAGGAGTGCCTGGGGGGCACACAAAAGGAAGGGTTTGATTTTGGCAAACCCCCTAATCCTGTTTATCTGCTCTTTCTCCCTGAGGTGCTACTTCAAGCCCTGCTGTTGATTCCATCAGTTACTCTCCCCCCAAAAGGCACAGGAGACAAAAGCATGTGGCTTCTGCGCCCAATATCAGACACCCAACGCAACTCAGATTTTGCATATCAAGCATCAAATGCTGGCAGCAAATTCTTCATTCTAAAGCCACAAAGTTCACTTTAAAAACAACAACCCTATAACATGAATTGAATAAATGTGGAGAATGACTAAGTGTGAGGAAACTGTGATCCCCTCAGAGTGAAAATAATTTATTTGCTGTGAGTTATTTGCTCAGCTCCACTGTTAATGAACTTAGACTGTCTAGTTCAAGCCAGGAACAGAACACCAAAAATTGCTCTCTGATATTTACCAATCAGGAGCTAGATTAAGTAGATCACCCAATGCTAAAACGTTAGTATTTGAATATCAGACTCATTGGACCAAGAGCTTGCTAGTAGGACATGTATATTTAAGGAAATCTCAGGGCTTCTTTATTTTGCTGGACCCTGGGTGCAGCAGGTGGCAAACACGTCTAGGGGTACTATGGCAAGATGGAAGTGGGTCCAGAAATTCTTCTTTTGTAACATGGGGTCGTAGTATGGAAAAAGTTGAGACCGGCTAGGTTCAATGCACTGAAGCCACTAGAAGGTGGAGCTGTGTGAAATATTCATAACAAAACTAAAAATGAGTTTGTGGCATTTCTATGAAAATAGAACTTGGCAGTGGGAGATGAACACACTGGGCATGCAGTGAAGTGAGTGTGGCAGTCGGCACAAAGAGAGAAATAAGCACAGTATTGTCGCCACTCTTGGGAGGCCCATACAAATGCTGAGCTGGTTTCACAGTGCGTTTTCTAGTTGCAAACTGGGTTGGTTGGGACAAGTCATATAATTTAAGTCATATTGTATTATTTCTATTTCCCTGATTTAGCTGCTTTCCAGAGGCCTTGCTGACTGTTTCTCAGAGTGTGGAGTTCAGTTGGTCTTAGGAAGATGACCAGGAAGATGGTTCTTTTACCTTCACACTAATAATTAGACAGCTTGGAGTCAGTTAGTGGAGGTGGAAGGGTTCAAATCTGGACCCCTGGTAAGGTTCCTCCTGAGGTTCACCTTCAGAGTTAAGGCTGGGCAAGGGTTGGGTTCAAGTTTGATGGCACTGGGTTCATGCCATCCCTGACGCCCAGGGACTTGACTGAACTGGCTCTGGAAAACTGGCCTGGATTTTATGCATCAAACCAAAGAACAACTCCTTCTCCTCTCTGCCCCATGACCCCAATATTTTGCAGAAAAGCAACTTTTCAAGGAGGTGAAAATGCACGGAATGAAATGGCAAAGGCTTTTCCACTCAGTTCTGCATACTTCTGCCCTCACCCCGCATCATATGCCTAGCACAACTTGTAGGTTAACAAGCTAGAAATATGAACCCTTTAACTAAATAGAAGCTAGGGGAAGAAACCATAAGAAAATGTAAACTATGTTTTGATTTATTTAAAAAAATTTGGCAAACTATCTCAGGGAAAAAATACTTCCTGTATAATGTGGCTCTAAGGGTTAGAACAAACCTCTGTCCAAATGCAAATAAGGATTTAGTTGTTATAAAGAATGTCTGCCAAAGCACCCAAAAGTCTTGAACATGGAGTTTTGTGACATTATTTAGATTCAATTGCTGCCAAATACCAGGGGTGCTTCACAATCTGTGCTGGGCTCTTTGGGCCAACACACCTAACTTTTCTAAAAGCAGCTGCATTAGTGGCTCTATTATTACAGTGGCTGAAAAGGCAGCATTTCCATCCATGGTGGGGCTAGGTTGGACACAGGGCTTTGTGTTCAAAGCTGAATCAGGAGATTCAAATCTGATAGCGCAGCAATCTCACCAGCTGTTCTAGTAGGTCAGGGGTCGGCAACCTTTCAGCAGTGGTGTGCCGAATCTTCATTTATACACTCTAATTTAAGGCTTCGGGTGCCGGTAATACATTTTAACGCTTTTTAGAAGGTCTC